GCTTCAGTGTAGATACCTTTCCCCCCACCCACATGGGATGTATCCCAACAGAAGGCCATGCGGTTTGCGGATGGAACCAGTCAGGAGGAGCTCTGCGGCAGAAAGAACGCCAGCCTTGCGATGCGGCTCCCAGCACCCTGGCCAGCCACCCCTCTCGTGAGCCTGCAGCGCTTCAGGGAGGGGCTCGCTCGGACTTGGAATCCGAGGAGGCAGAACTCTTTTGAGACGAGGCATTGATCTGCTTGGCCCCATTTGCAGTTATTATTTATATGGCTGCCAATCTGAAGCAACTCTGGATGGCTCCCGCTAGTAACACTGAAACCAATAAGTAAAACAAAACTAAAACAGTGAAGCAATAAAATAATAAAAGTAACATGCCCCTGTTTCTCGCAACTGCAAAAGCAATGTACATAAAAATACTATAAAAGAATTAAGAAATAGCTTTATTTAATATTGCTCATAAGATGTATTGGTACCCCTAGGACGGGTAGGCAACCTTGGCTCTTTTATGCTGGCTCAGGAATTCTGGGAGTTGAAGTCCACGAGTCATAAAAGAGCCAAGGTTGCCTACCCCTGCCCTAGGAAGATCTTTCCCAAGAGACCTCTGAATGTAAATGGCTGGCTCACTTGGCCAAGGGGCAGAGGGGGCCTTGGGGCAGGCAGCTGAGTCCAGGCGCTGACTCCCTGGTGATGAGATAGGGCAGGCGGGTTCTCTTCGGGAAAGAGCCCCAGAAGTAACAAGGGGCCAAGCTGTATGAGTAATCGGCTGCATCTCGAATTGGATCTGGACCCCTGCAACATCCAGGTGTCATTTAGCTGAACCAAGGTGCCCCCGTCAGCAAATGGGCACCATCTTCCATACCAGCTGTAGCTGGAGGACAATCAAACAGCAAGTGGTAGAGGTGTATCCAGGAGATGAGACGGGCATGAGGGACCATCCTCGGTGCCTCCTGGTGATTTCCCCAGAGCTGGCTGAAGGTGGTCTTGCCACGGCTGTCCCCTCCCATTAACAGGAGTTGTTGGTCCAAGGGATCCTGCGATTGTAGGCCGGTATCTTCGGCACGACGCTTGGGAGTGATAGGTGAGGCAGCCATCCTATTGGAAGGGTTTGGTGCTTTTTAAGTGTATTTGCTTATTTAAATACTTTAAAAACAGCTCTGGACCCCCATAAGTAGCTCTGCAGCTGAGATGATGACGCTGCTAACCTCTGCAGCAATTTGAAGCCTTCGCTGGTGGGACGAAGTGTCTTGCTTCACCCAATCACGATAAAGTAACTTTGGTACACAGTTAATAATCTTCCCTTCTCTGACTAAAGAATGCTAACTGCTGTTGGAATGTGATGTTCTTAATTAAGAAGATGCGTATTGATAGTGAGTTGCTGCCCCCTTTTGCCCTCCAGGTTAAAGAAGACTGAATTCAGCTTGGAGGAAATATATACCAATCAGAATTACAAATCGCCCCCGGCAACCAGGTTGGTTACAGACAACATAGCATCGGAATGGAGGATTTTGTGATTTGCAGGGGAAAAAAGTTGTGGGAAGCCCCTTTAAATGGATCTGCTTTCTACATCCACTCCATGGTTGCAAAGAGTTTACATCAGTTCGTTTTGTGGCTTGAAAAAAACCGTAACCTGGCTTTGAGTCCAGTTGCTGATTGTGTGGAAGGGCTTTGGGTCCCTTCTCAGATTATAAGGATGATGCCCTAAGTTCACTCCTTTTGGTGTTGTTTTGTTTTCAGGTGCCTGGAAACCATTTTTGAAGAGCCAAAAGAGAAAAATGGGTCTTTGATCTCTATCAGCCAGCAGAAGAGAAAACGGATTTTGGAGTTCCAGGACTTCACCGTTCCCCGGAAGAGGAGGGCTCGCAGCAGAATCCGGGTGACGGGTGGCTACACTCGGGCGCAGAAGGCGGCCATGGAAGGGAGAGAACTTGACATCCTTCTCATTCAGAAACTGACCGACCTTGAGACGTTCTTTGCCAAGGAGGAGACAAAGGAACAAGCCTCATTGTGTAGTTGAGTTTGGGTTGATCTGCCGGAAGAGCTTGTGGCGTTTCTGTGATCTGGTGCGCC